GTTTTCACCAAAGGGCACCACCTACAAATGAGGTGATCTTTGTGGCTAGAGAGAGGAGCTACGTCCTCACAAGGAAGACATTTAGTGGAATGATGCCGTTTTCATTTAGAAGCTCACAAATGGAAGACCTCTGTAATAGCAGTGAGGTGGTCCTAGACCATTAGTGCAAAGAATTAATGCTTGGTAAAAGCAATGCCATTAGTGGGACAGTGGAAGTTAAAGCTACAAATGCAAGGATTTAAAAGCAATGGATGTCCAATATTGGATATGGTGATTGAAAGTCCCATGGATGTGAGACTTTGAGAAATTCTTTGGCGTGCTGAAACTCTTGGGGCTCAGCATATTTGTGTCATCCCATTAGCATCCTCTCTTCAGCAAGATGCAAAAATTATCTTGACTAGGCTTCAATCAGAAGAATCCTCAAAGGATTGGCTTGAATATTTCAAGTTTCAAACATCAAGAGATTCACCAAGTGATGCATGTAATGTGCTATTAGTAGTGGCCTCATTTATTGCCACGGTCACGTTCTAAGCAGGTGTGAACCCGCCAACTAGTATCTTAGAAAGAAACAAATACCCAGCCAAGTACTTCAAGCGATAGAACTTTGATTGGACTGCCAACGAGCTTTGGTCTTGCTGTTGCCTCTGCAATTTTAGGATCTCATGACATTTGCGATCACATGTTTTGAGTTGATTCCCACGCGCACACATTCCCATGCATAACCATAAAACATTGATTAGAGAAAATGGAAATTTGAGAGGAATGGTAAATCTGTGAAGAGCTTCTAGTGCATGAATCAAGCTAATATAGATTTAGATTTGAATATAGAGAGTGATATATATAGAGAGAGGGAGAGATAAGAAGAAGAAGAAGAAGAAGAAGAAGAAGAAGAAGAAGAGGGGGATTCTTTGGAGGGAGGGAGTGTGTGATTTGGGTGCACATTTGATTTCATTTGATAATTGAAAAAAAAAAAAACATACACACACACACAGAAGTTTGCTATTTTGAGCTCCTGACCGAAAACACTTGTGGAATGTGGCTTCTATCCGGCTGCAAGATCACCTCATTCATGAGGTGGCGCCCTTTGGCGAAAACTTCTATACGATCTGGAGAGAGAAATCTTTATAGAGGCTCTAAATCCAGCTTGTCAAACCTAGGATATAACATCTCGACTAGTAGTCGTGTTGGCTCAGACTATCTCTACACATTAGGTTGAGCCCAAAGCACCACCATGGAAACACCCTTACATGTCACATGAAATCTTTCTGTAAAAACACAATACAGAATCTAGAAATAAAAATAGAGCCATATGAGAGACTCCTTTTTTGATCACACACATGGCCTTTTCCTTTGGCTTTGCAATACAATGGGAAACTCCATTGAAGACATTTTTCTCAAAACACTACTTTACACCATGTATCCATTACACATCAGTCAACATTCATTTTCTTTTTCACTTGCTTCAGCACTTATTGAATTAAACACTATTATAACATTTCATATTTACTATTCATCTTTGACTATATAACACTGTTTCATTTATTGTTTTGTCAGTTACTTTTTGACTTAATTCCACAATGCTATTACTCATTCTAGTTGGCACTTACATATATTGAAGATACACAATTCAGATTACACAATTCATGGGTGAATACATATCAAAGTGATGAATGTAGAAAATAATTTTAATAGTGAAATGTATAGTGCATATATTATGCACCAACACTAAGATTTCAAAATATTAGTTCTTCTCTGTAGTTCGTTGAACATTATTTTGATATTTATTTTTTTATCTCTTTTACTCTTTTAAGTGGTCTTAGTGATCTGACCAAAATGGCAGAAAAGTGTGCCATTGCAAAAGATATTACTGAAGTAAGCTGCATTCATCCTGAATTTATTTATTTATTTTTTTTGGAGCCTAAGATTAAGGGACGCTGTTTATCATACTCATCTTGTTGTTTTGACATGTACAGTTGATAGGTAAAACACCATTGGTGTATCTCAACAATATCGCCGATGGTTGTGTTGCTCGTATTGCTGCCAAACTAGGGATGATGGAACCCTGCTCTAGCGTTAAAGACAGGTAGCTAGATATTTTTGTTCTTTTTTTTTAGTAATCTCAATCTCCATCGTAATTTTAGAATTATATGTATTATAGGACTTTGCTTATAGATTTTGATATCCTAAATCATGCATGGCATGCAGGATTAGGTACAGTATGATACAAGATGCAGAGGAGAAAGGCGTCATCAGGCCTGGTGAGGTTAGTCCAAATGTATCATCTTCTATCATATAGACATGTATTTGAATGTGATTTTATATTTTTGACCTCAAATGTTTTCTATGAAAATACAAGATTACTCTTCCTCTATTATGTATGTTCACTTCTTTCTATCTTAGTACCAATGTGGCTATCATTGCTATTTCACAAAACCATGGTTTCGAAAATGGGAAGTTCGTTTGATTAATCGCATATAGGAATGTGCCTTTATATGAACTGTATTAAGTTGCTACAGATGAAGGGAATTATTAATTTACTGCAAACATGCCTGTACACTTTGCTTGTTCCTTGTACAATGTTCATGGGAGCTTGACAAACTTTCCTTTGTTATTGTCTGCCCAAATGATGATTGCTGAAGAGTGTCTTCATTGAGCCTACCAGTGGTAATACTAGTATTGGCTTGGCTTTTATGGTGGTAGCTAAGGGTTATAAACTAATCATTACTATGCCTGCTTCTATGAGTCTGGAAAGGAGAATTATTCTTTTGGAGCTGAGTTGGTTCTTACAGATTCTGCTAGGGGCATGAAAGGGGCTGTTCAAAAGGAGGAAGAAATAAAGGAAAAGACCTCCAATGCCTACATTCTTCATCAATTTTAAAACCCTGCCAACCCAAAGGTATTATGGCACCAGTACTTTTGAGTTTCTGTATTATCACGTATCAGCATATGTTGGTAGCTGATTGGATAGATTAATTATTTGATCGATATCATCTGTTTAGGTCCATTATGAGATTGTTAGAATAGGAAATAATATTGCATATATTTTATTCTTATTTGATTTTATTTTTCTTTGATTGATGTAATGGTCTAGCCCATAATTTATGCCTGATGGCACTCCTGTAATTACGCTTTATTATCAATATAAATGGGGATGGGATCTCACTCATTCCCCAACTCTTTCCATCCCTTCTCTAAAATCTTCATGGTGTTAAAGTCACCTGTACCCTAGTAACCCTAATCCAGCCATACCCAGCCATAACCTAATCCTTCCATACCCTCTTACACCGACAGTCAATACCAACCCCACCCAGCTCTCTGAAACCCCTTGCCCAGGCCGTCGGCACTCTAGAACAGTCCTCTTAGGCTCCCCGACAGCCTATTAGGGTTAGTCGGCAATCTTCTCTATTCAATGGTCAAAACTATTTAGCGTGGTCGCAGAGAGTTTGACTATTTTTTTTGAAGAGCACAGGGAAGATGGGGTATGTTGATGGCAGAATACAGGCACCTAGCACTGTGGACCCTAGTTATGATCAGTGGGAAATCACCAATTCTCTCATCATGGGTTGGTTGATCCACTCTATGGTCCTTGAGATTGGAGAGGGCTATTTGGCTATGGTCATCATGGGTTGGTTGATCCACTCTACGGTCCTTGAGATTGGAGAGGGCTATTTGGCTATGGACACTGCAGAGGATATCCGGGAGGCTGTAGCTACCACTTACTCCCGCAAAGGGAACTTCTCATAGACTTTTGAGTTACGTTGCTCCATTGAAAGGTCGGTACAGGGTGAGATGATTGTTCTATAGTATTTTACCTTCCTTAGCAATGGGTGGAAGCGACTTGATCATCTTCAGGATTATAAACTTGTCTACCCCATGGATTCTGCTGGTTACCGAAAGTTTGTAGAACAGGTGCGAGTCTTCAAGTTCTTTGAAGCCCTAAGTGTGGAGTATGATCCAATTCGGAGTAGACTACTTGGTATGGATATGCTTCATTCTCTCCAGGAAGCCTTTGCTATTGTGCAGAATGAGGAGAATCGCCGTTCCGCGATGCTTGCTTCTCCCACTACTGATCGTTCTACCTTGGTTTTTGCACCCCCCGAGATGAAGAGCGTATGACTTGTGGTTCTCATCCTTTCTCTGAGAAGGATACTCTTTTCTGTGACTACTGCTGTAGACCTCGACACACACGTAAGACTTGCTGGAAGCTGCATGAAACTCCATCCGGTGGCTGAGGAGATCATCTTGGTTCTCGATGGGGTAGGTCAAGCCAGTCTAGAGGCCGAGGGACCAATGCTCGGGCACATCTTTCTAAAACGGTTGAGCACCACTTTCAGCTCCTGTTGTCTCACCGGCTGCTGATGTTTCTGGGTTGTCTGCCTCAGAGTTTGAGATTGGTCTTTGCCACTTGCTAGACCGTCGAGCCTTTCCTACTGTCTTCGGTGCATCCTCTTCTTCTTTTGCCAACTCACGTAACTTGGCTTCCTTTACAAGTGCATTGCTATCTCATAAAACTATTCTTTGGATTATTGATTCGGGTGCTTCCGATCATATGTCTGGTTCCTCTAATTTGTTCTCAGAGTATACACCCTCCTCAGGTCAGGAAAAAGTGCGTATTGCAGACAGTACTATTTCATCTGTGTCAGGGAAAGGTTTAATTCATGCCACCTCTTCCCTTCTTTTATCCTCTGTATTCCATGTTCCCAATTTTAGTGTTAATCTTTTATTTTTGAGTCGTATTATTCGTGATTTGAATTGTAATGTGACGTTTTTTTCTTGATTATTGTCTTTTTTAGGACCTTATCACGAGAAAGAGGATTGGTAGTGGTAGAGAGGACCATGGTCTCAACATTCTGGATCAGACTGACAAGCTAGCTCATTCATCTATTTAGTTACCATCCACCAAGGAAGACCTTTGGCTGTGGCATCGTCGCTTAAGACATCCCTCCTTTTTACTACTTAAGCATCTTTTTCTTCTGTTTTTTAGAAAAATAATGTGTCTGATTTTTAGTGAGTCCACTTCTGGTTTCTGTATGTTTCTTGGCGATTAACTGATTTCTTGGAAAAGTAAGAAACAAACTGTTGTTGGCCGTTCTATTGCCGAAGCTGAGTATCATGCTATGACTCATTCTACTATTGAAATTGTCTAGCTTCGTAGTCTTTTATTTGATTTGGGTGTCCTTCAATCTTCTCCGACCTCTTTCTATTGTGATAACCACAATGCTATTCAGATTGCTCATAACACTGTCTTCCATGAACGGACAAAGCACATTGAGATTAATTGTCACTTTGTCCGTTAGCATCTGCAGTCTGGTTCTATCTCACTTCCTTTTATCTCTTCGACTCTGCCACTTGCTGGCTTTTTCACCAAGACTCACACCACTGCTCAATTTCTGTTTCTTTTTGACAAACTCTCAGTGTTTTCTGCTAACACGCCTTGAGTTTGAGCGAGGGTGTGAAAATATTGCCTATATTCGGTTTCTCCTTTTTCCTTTTAGGCTTAGGAATTAGAGTTCTATATGAGTTCTATATAAGTGATGTATTCTTTTAGGCTTAAGAATTAGAGTTCTATATAAGTGATGTATTCTTTGTTTTATTGAATCAGTCTAATATATAGTTTTATTCAGAAAACTTACAAACCCTGTTAAAGTTCAGCTGGCATAGGGAATAAATAGCCTAAAACAAGTTGTAGGATTCTTGAAATAGGTTTATTCATCGAAAAAAAAGATTCTTGAAATTGGCTAAGCGAAATACTCTTGGTTTGTTCAGTCAAAGTGCATGGAAAGGGGAATTCATAACTTATCCCATGTATGTCAGGATTTCTTGTGACCGTTGACTAGGGTGAGTGAGAAGTCCAAGACCTGTTATTAAATAAAACAGTTTACATTGTACATTAGAACAGATTTTAAAAAAAAAAAAAAAAAGGTCTACCTTTTGACATGTGCTATGATTTGCTAAAGTACTTATTTTTCCAGTGCAATAGTGATAATAACACGTGTTTTAATGGAGCATGTTTACTTGTATGAGAAAGCCTTATGTAATTGTTATTACTCTTCCATCATTTTTTGCTGCTTTTCATATTCAAAGGCCAATCTCTGATAATTATTGCTGAGTTATTAATGTTTGAACTTTGTAAATATCAAGTGAGGAAGCTATTGAAACTGCCAAGCTTCTTGCAGTGAAAGAAGGTTTGCTGGTAAGAACATAATTCTCCATATTATTCAACTGTTGGTCTTACAGGCATTTTTATATCGCTTTCCTCTCTAAAAATTACGGAACTCTTAAGTTCATGTCTTAGGTTTTTTTTTTTAGTTCTCAAGTTTGATGGTGCTTATGGTAACATGTATTGTGGGTAGGAATATCATCTGATGTTGCTGCGGCTGCTGCAATTTAGATAGCTAAGAGGCCAGAAAATGCTGGAAAACTCATTGTTGTATGTTTGATTTTCTGCATACAAGTTCAGCTTTGTTGTTTTGTTTTGTCATTTGTGTATATTTTGTTCTCAATTGGGCAAATTTTAATGTACTAGAAGATATTGCATAGTAATTTGGCTGAACACAACATTGGACAAATCTCAGAATTTTAACCACCTACAAATATTCTATTGTTTGTTTTTGACAGGTGGTGTTCCCCAGCTTTGGAGAGCGTTATCTGTCATCTGTGCTGTTTGACTCCTTGAAGCGTGAGGCAGAGAATATGACTTTTGAACCCTGAGATTTTTCCTAGCTTTAGAAAGGTGATAATATATAGCGACCCTGGTCTTTTCCCATTTAATTATTGTATCCGGACTGTTCCGTAGATTTTGTCATTGTATATGGTTGTTGTTGTTATTCCTTATTTTCTCTTTTGGAATTATAGGATGTGTTGGGCAGGTTTGTTTCAGGTTGGTTGGGTTTAGAAACCAAGAGTTGCTGTCCAGGTTTTTGGTTCTTCGCTCGAGCGAGGAGTTGTTCGCTCGAGCGAGAGGTAGTGTTTGATTTGGACCTGTAGCTGTGCATTCTTGGCTCGAGCGAGCTTTTCTTCGCTCGAGCGAGTTAGTTCATCCTTCGCTCGAGCTATAGTTCCTTCGCTCGAGCGTGTGTCTGGGTTCAGACCTGAGGGTATGAGTTCTTTTAATGACCAAAATGAGAACATAATTTGTTAGGGATGGAATTGAAAATTTTGAAAATTTTAAATTGTGATAATTAGAACAAAGTGAGAAACAATAAATAATTTCAGGTCAGTATGAGAAATAACTCATGCTCACACAGCTCTGCCGAAGAGTTTTCGACTTTCTTAGATTTGCTACCCTTTTTTCCCCTCTTTGGGAGATTGACATGTAAGAATATTCAACATTTATGCAAATCCATTTGAGCACAACTCATAAATATAGAACTAAGTTTGGATAGGGGCCGCGCGAATGCAGGCCCCCACTGCCACAAATGATGACGTAGGCTTTGCCACTTGGACAGACCTTAGGCGAGCGCCCCTCCTAAGTGCAATGGAGGTCACTACCCTAGGCCATGGGCCTCATTGATCACCCATTTGACCCCGTCCAGGTAAATATGTTTTAGTGATCCTTATCTATTGCCTCACAATTGCCTCTCCTGCTTCATGTTTGTTCAATGTTGGAATGACAGCAACGTCTTGACATGGAGGTTGTGCCTTGCAAACTTCTAAACAACGTGCAATGAAATGTTGGTTTTACAGTTTTTGAGATGATTAATCATCAAACAGATTCCAATTCCATCTAGTAGATAGTTTTATTTGCAAATTTGCAAAATTCCCTCTACTAACTATGCCTGTGGTTGGGAGCAATAGTTGAAGCAAAATAAGCCTTCCAACAACATGGCTCCTTTGGGTGACTACGACCCTGTTCGGTTGTTTGGAAAAGTATAAGAAAATAAAAGAAATAAAAAAATCATATAACTGTTGCATTAGTGAGAAACTTATGAAACTCACATTTTTAATTTTCTTACTAAAATAAGTTTTTATTCAAAATGTATATATCTCACAAAAAATTGAGGATTTTGTCACGGGAATCTCAACATACGTTACTTTCAACCACAAAATATATGTTTTCACACACATCCACTGAAAAACTGAACAACTAAATTTTACTATATCTTTTTGGCAAAATTCATCTATCAATGAACAAATACATATAAGAAATTAAGTTTTCTTATCTGTTACTGTGATGTATATCTTTTTCGTGAAAATACTTTCCCATCAAAACTCTTGACAAGTGTGATAAGTGAACGGAGCCTACTGTTGTGAAAAACAAAACTTTATTAATAATTCTGTTTTCATTATATTTTGTCCATTGATAATTAAAATAGCAAAACATAATAGAAACCCCATATAGAATAATGTCTTGCATGACAGTTAGTAGGCTTTCCCTGGGAGGCTATTGATGATCAAATAAGAAGTTTTTTTCTTTTTTTTCATCTTGAAAAACTCCCTCAAAACTTGTCGTGTAGTGTGACATACATTGTGCGATCCTTTTTCAATCCCAATGTATACCAATGAAGTAATGATTGTCAAGCCTAAGCACAAAGAGCCAATTTAAATACCAATTTTTGGTTATGGATCTTTTCTCTCCTCGTCTCAAATTATATATAAGTCATAATCAATAGATCATGTAAGAATATTAAGACATAATGCTTAAGGTATAATTAAACGCTATGTTGATGTAATGTCTCAAAATTTTGAAATATCAAGAGAAATTAAATAAATAAAATAACTTATTAAGTTAAAAACTTAACATTTTAATTAGAAATTGTAACTCTCATACATGACCAAAGGTTCAAACAACCCTAAATAATAAAAAAAAAAACTTAAAATGTCATTAAATGAAAAAACAAAGTTCTTAATTGTTAATACATAAGATTATAAAATTTATTTGGCTCTAGTCATGATTTCAAGTCAGCCAAAGTTCTATGCTAGCATCAATCCCATTTTAAACTGCCATTCTTTTTTTTTGGGTCAAAATTTGGCATAAAATGCAAGGGTAACAAAAATATATGCCATGAGTTTTTTAGCACAGAAAGAAAATACAACAAACTTACTTTCTTTTTACAAAAAAAATAACGAGATTATAAGTATAATATAACAATAAATTGCAACCATATAACTTACAAATATTAAAATAATTTCAACAATTTTAATAAATTAGGTGACACTCAAAATCTCACCAAAGATATTAACTTACCAACCACTAAGCTATGGCCACAGTTAATTTGAAACCCCCTTGAGTTAAATAATTAAGTGTTACAAACTGTGACTACCAAGGACGGTCATGCCCAGAGTTACATATCCAAGTGGTGGCTTTCGTGATTTGCCCTAAGAGAACAGTTTATTGGGGGTACGTATCCTTCCTGTGTGCTATCCGCACATCTACCCTTATTCCAAAACCGAATATTGATAAGGGTTCAAGTACGTCCCGTACCATCTTAGGGTTTTGGACAAAAATTACATAAAATCAGGACTCATTCTGAACAACCGATATTTATTGTCAACCGTTAATTTCGTACACCCCGTTGATCATTTTAGTTAATTTTCATAATAATTACTAATAATTACAAATTAGGTCACCATCAATGTTATACCATTTTACTATAATTTTCAAGAGAAAATATTAACAATTATGTTCTACAATAATCAATCAATGTACATGGTATTATAAACAGTTAAATCAAGCCGTCAAGTGAAATAATAATTTTAAATACTAAAATAAATCACAACATTACACATGCATGAATTACTAATTTACAAGATTCAATTAAGTAAATTAGAACAACACTTATTTTTAATTCTAATAAATAACTGAAATGGTAATCTTGATTCTTTTAATATTCTGCCCAAAATTTTCAGAACTTAAATTTCGTGGTTAAAATTACAAATAAATTATTTATACAATTCTAAAATTCATGTAATTTTTAGGAATGTTTAACAAACATATTATGTTATTTTTCAAAAATAATTTCCTGAAAATAAATTATAAATAATTCTGTAAAATTACAAAAAGTTACA